CCGAGTTTCAAAAACATGCTCTAGTCAAATCTTGCAGAGAAATTTGACAACGAGCAAACCCAAAACCACAATTTTTATATTTCAACTACGTTAGGGTTATATAAGCTAACCCTACTCTAATACGTATATAAGCTTGTACCATGTTTACTGGAATTTAAAACGATGAAACGCTTCATGTGATGTCCCTTCGGTCTGCAAATTGCTAGGAATATACAAAAATTCGCAAAACATAACACTGAATATACATCTAATCCACTGCCAATTATACTACTTACCGACGTTTTTTCAGCTACACCAAGGCTTCTGCCTGAAGTCAGACATTTTGCCTCCGGCAATTCGGTTAGGTTGGGTTTTTCAAGTTGCCTTAAAGATGGTATCTTTATGTTCATATGTTCGGCTTGCACATCACTTGCTGCTATCAAAGTGGTCGAAGGAGCTGTCGGCGTTTGACTTACGCTGGCTTTAGTCTCGAGATCGTTGAGTCGATGCACCATTTGATTAAGGCCTTGAACCAACTCACGGTTTTGAGCCAGTAACTGATGGATACGATGCTGCTATGAGGGGAATTAAGGAAAGTAAACATTTCACGTTAGCGAATTGCATGTAAAAGTTCACACCACCTTAAGAATCATTCCAAATGAGGTATCAAGGACTAGAAATAAGGTTCATTTTTGATGTGACCTCCCTTTGGTGTTATATTTCCTATTTGTAATACTAACTAAAATAAGACGGTCACACTCTTATTTACATCATAAATATGAATAACAAGTTGGTGTAGCTACACCAACCGCTACTCGGTCAGGGCAACATAGAGACCTTTTGAAGGTAACACAGAGTTACAACTTGTCAGAGACAAGTCAAAGCAATTCCTTTAACCATTGTTCTGTTCAATCGTTGTGGAATCACTCCTTGCTCCGATTTTCTGTCCTACCACCTAGAGCTGCATCTTTTTCAATCAACTCCACTTCATATCATTCATTTACCCATTCACACCCTCTTGTGTTCCCACTTTTTCTGGTGTCGCCTAAGAATGTGTCGCCCCAAGTAGATTTAGTAAAGCCTAATCACCCAGCTGTTTGCAGGGCTTCTAGGTTATGCTTCGTTTATAAGTGAGTTTTCGACACAACCAGTAGGTAATTTATGTATGAAGCGTATTCACCCTATTTCGTTTAAGATGATGTTGTATTTTCACACAATGATATGAGTAGATATGATGTTTCAGTCGAATTTCATATAGCCTTGTTTACCCTAGGGTATTATCATCCTGGCTGAAGTGGACCACAGTTTTGACCTCTTATAGGTTTGATCAACAACCCAGCGAGACTCGAACCATGACAATGAGGCGTATAATAATGGGCACATTAACCACTAGGCCACATTGCCACAAGTGCCCTTCCATCATAGGACAGATGAGAATGTTAAGGAAGGCCAGGTATTTACAATATCACATTTTGTGCACCTTGCTTGTCAGCTGTTCCCTGTTATACATGAAAGTCACTGTCTGGCTGTCTATAAGTCTTCAATTCCATTCCCGTTTACATCATATTCAAGAATTTAAGATCGGTGCTTCTCATGCCTAGGCAACTTCCTTTCTCTTAGGTTTCACACCAATCAACCAGTTTTCCTTTTTCTCGTCAGCCTTAGTCAGAACCGCCGGTATGAAGATGGAACAAAGTCTTGAGAAATAGCGCCTGTAGTGAAGTATATACTTTATATGAGTTGCAATCACCCTATTTCATTTAAGGTGGTGAAGGACTGGTAGTTAAATTTTTCCACAATGATATGAGTAGAGCTGACTTCTCCATTGAATTTCACATGACCTTACTTTCCAAAAGGTGCAGTATGTAAGCTCGATACATTAGCCACTCCGTGGCATTGTCACTAGTGCTCTTGGGTCACAAGATAGATGTGAATCTCAAGGAATGTCAGGCATTTTCCATATCCCATTCCGTGTTGGAATTGTCGATGAAGCAAACTTATATTTGCTATAACAATCGACGATATTACTCTTTTTGTAAGTGAGTAGGTTTTCGAGACTACACCTCATATATCTGAGTAACCGATATTTTCGAAAACCCACTCACGAAAAAATGTATACTTTAACTGGAACCGAGTGAAATCAATCAACCAAAAAGATAAAAAATGAATCTACGGGCTCATGAGACAGATCCGGATAGGTGGTCTGGGTTGGGTCAGCAAATCGAGAGACAGAAAAAGCAAGGTAAACAGCAATTGTGATGACACGAC